CCTGCTGAAATATATAATTTATCACTATATATTGTGCAGCTGAATAAGCAACTTAATATGGTAAATTCAAGTAGTGAATAGAACCCCAAAATGCTACAGAATGCTAAAATAAGGCAACTAACTGAAGTCATTTTGTGCTTTTCCCTATATGACAGAATCACTGAGCTGAATTTTTGGAAGAATAAAATGTCCTGAGACACTTAAAAAAGAATATCAAGTTTAAAAGTTAAAAACCATAACCAGAAACTGACATGCTGAGCAGACCACCAAGCACTGCAGGAGAGTCCAGGAGAAACAGAGACTGTCACGTCTGGTAGATGAATCCTGATCATGTAGATTAGTACATATTGGAATGACATGTTTCACTTTAAGAAGTTTTCCATGAATTAAAAAGCTTTAAGACAACAGTGTAAAGTTACAGGCAATATTTTTTCCCGCTAAACACATGTTTCTTCTTCCTGTAGTTTTCCTTCCTCTTCCCGCTGAGCCATTGGAGGCGAGCTCTATTTGTCCTGTCCTGGCTCGCCAATGGGAATGTCCGATCAAGAAAAATCTCCTTCAGTTTGCTCAAGAAAAACACCTCCAGGTTTTGGCCGGCCTGTGCCACCTCTGAGTCCGGCTGCAGACGGACATGAACAAAAGAAAAAAACAGAGATTTTCTCATTTAAACCTGTATTTACCCTGGTAAAATCCCTTTGTTTCAAAGGCTGGCCAAGTTGCAGGCCTCAGGGATGGATGATCTTTTATAAGTAAAAGCAGCAATACCACAGTGTAGAAATACTCTGATAGAGAACTACAGTGGTCTGGAACTGGGACATGGCATCAACTGGCAAATAAACAACCTGACATAGTTCCTACATGAAGGAATCAAAGAATAAATTCATATCTGGGCCCAGTTTGCTGCTCCATGTGGAACCTATTCCCACAGGCTATAGAAATAATTCAGCTACACCAGAAATTAGATTGAACTTCAGTAGTTATGACAAACATACATAATTGAAGGTAGCGCAGTTCTTGAGCATCAGCAAGACGTCATCTACGAATTGCTCAGCAGTGAAGTAGTGTAGAGTGTTGCTCTTGTCCAGTTTCCTGCGGATCACAGACAGGTCAATGGGCCTCTTGATGATCTGGTAGTAGTTTCTGGCCTGGAGGACATTCACACACATTAGATCAGTGTGCGGGGAGGTTGTTGTCATGTTGACCCTATGGTGTGCTCTGAACATTTTACATGTAAGTCAGTGTTTTGTCCACTTATGTTATGACCATTACACACTGCAGTAATGCTCTTTCTGCCCTGCGACTCACTTTAACCAGCTTCTTAGTTCCTTGTTAATTTAATGTGTGCAACACAAAGCTTTATTTTACCTTTAGGTTTGGATTTATATTGTGAAGTATTTGCTGTAATATTTGTTGTAAAACATTTGAAAGTCATATGTATACATGTAACATTGCTCAGTTTAGACTCTAAACTTCAGAGTGATGACATACAGTGTACTTTTATTTGTAAATCTTAACCATTAGTGATGTCATACAGTATAAACTCATGTAGAATGAGCTCAGTGCTTGTCATCACCTGAAAATTAAAGGTAGCTACACCACAGTATGACTTTAGATTACCTTGTTGTTATAATGGACATTTGCACAGTATTGTGTGTCACTTCTGATGTGATTTCTGAGCTAAACATGTTGCAAGTACAGATGTTTAATATAAATCTGTCAGACTGACCAGAGGGCTCACAGGTTCATGAAAAGGAGCGCTGAGCAAGTGACAGTACAGCAGCAGAGTCAGCTTCTCACACCTCTGCAGGGGAAAACACACAACACGGCACTCATAACCTGAGCTAAACTAGGTCAGCCTACCCCGTCATCTCATCATGACCCCATATGACAAGTCCACAACAATCAGAAAGATAATGAAATCGTTATGTCCCACTACATGTTGTGCTGTAGCACAGAACACATTTAATTACATCTTTGATGTATTTTCCCTTTAATGTAGTGGTCATTTGTATTCCATTACTTTTCACTAATTACAACCTGGTTTGTTGGTTGGCTTCATTTTCACCACTTGCAGTAACAGAAACTAATCTTAAAAGCCCACTGTGGTTATATAAAGATTACTCAACATTCAGTGCTAAACACTGGTACAGAAAGGAGACGGCTCACCCTCTGGTCCTGATTGGACAGTGTGTACGGAGCTTTGACTCCATCACAGGTCTGCGTGTTCTCACAGTCGTAGGTCTCCACAGGCTCCTGGTCGGATCTGCACAACGTACACACCCAGTCACCTCTGTAAGACACGCACGACCTCTGTCATTTCACAGGTTGGACTTTGTAGTGCAGCATGAAGCCTGAAACTTCCTGAACATTCCTGCAGTTAATTAATTCTTAATACACTAAAAAGTGGATGTATATTGGCATTCGTTTTTTTTTAAAGGCTGGTGTTATTTTATTCTTTTATTATCATTCCTTAAGAACAACTAAATCAACAATTCATTTATCTCCATAGAGATGACATGATCAGCCTGTGCCGAGCAGCTGTAAGCACTATCTAAATGAATGAATGCACTGACTGTCATCACACACACACAGCTTGCAAGTCTGGATGTTCACACAGTACTTACAGTGGGAAGTCAATGAGAGGAGGTATATGGCAGGCCAAGTGGAAAACCTTTGGGCAGCGATCACAGCAGAGCAGATCACCTCCGTTCAGACAAACAGCACAGAAATCTTCACTGTCCATGTCCTCGGCTCCAGCTCTGGGTTCAGGTAGGACGGATGAGTCATCGTCCTCCTGTAAGGAGCACAGATCAGGTCTTTGATCGTCACTGTCCTCCATCTCAACTACATCCGCTTCACATTTTGATTCAGATTCATCCTCCAGCTGCAGGGATCTATCCTGATCCGCTTCTGGTTCTGGATCCAGTTCGATCACCATTGTCTGCTCTGGATCTGGGTCCAGATAAAATGTTTCTGAATCCGTTTGCCCATCTGGGTCCCATTCATCAGAACCAGACTCAAACAGGATATAAGGCTGATCTGGATTTGATTCACAGTCAAAGCCTGAGTCCTGCTCTGGTTCCGCACACGGGGAGCTGTCCGGACAGTACGGTTCAGTCCAGGATCTTGATGTGGCTTCTGGCTGACTGAACTCAGCTGACTGTGCTGGTTTAGACTGAGCTGAATCCTCTTTGACCTCCAAAATGTCTGCCTCATTTTGACCGACTACCTGTTGAGGAAAATCCAAACTACAGATGCGGCGCTTGGCTTGTGTTTGGCACGGCAGCCGCACCAGAGACACCACAGGCTGCAGAGACAATAAGGACACAGCCTGAAAGTTCAGACGCTCCAGGCTTACTACAGGTATGCATGAATTACCCAAAATCCTCTGAGCCTCTGGATGAATCCTGTGGAAATAAATGGAGATTTGAATGACTTCCTTTTTTTCACACCAGCAACTGAAAAATGTTTTTCATTCAGATCAGGAGTATATCTGATATATGAAATATAACATCATTAAGAAATTTCACATTTTAGGAAATTCACTTATTCACTTCATTTCTGTGAGTTAGATAAGACAGCATCATATATGTGCACTTAATATGGAGTTAATATGAGGCAATTAGCCTAGCTTAGCATAAAGAGTAGAAGTAGAGGAAAATACCAATGTTGGATTTGTCCAATGTTCAAATATGCACCCAGCACGTCTACATCCTATTTATTAAGAAGCTGCCATATTTTGTTTGCTTAATCCATACACAAACAAAAACGTCATAAGGATCATTTTGTACTTTAAAAGTAGCAGATAAGTAAACTCCTGCACAAATGTCATGGTGCCACGGTAGTGATATACTGTATATATATCACACTGACACTCTCTGCCATGCAGAGGAAGAAACATCTGCCATGTCCAGATGCACCAAACAAGCATGTAATAACATTTGTGACATGTAGTATAACCATATGCATCCACTGTCTGTGCTGTTTTGGACTTTACTAGCACCTTTACATTTCTCTTTGTGTACAGATTAAAAAATTATTATACACTGACAATGTGTGAGCTCTACAGCCCCATTTCCTGTCTTTAAGCTATGCCGATCTTTTCCTGGGTCCAGCTTTGCACTTAACAGCCGTCCATGACAGTGCTATCAATATTCTCATCTAACAGTAAATAAGCACATTTACCAAAATGCCATACTTTATTTAAATGTTTTCCAGTTGTGTTGTAAGTGCAGTGTGTTCTGAATGTTGTCCTTTGTTTTACCTTAGTCTCTTCAGCAAAGCTGCTACACTTTTATGAGGTTGTCGTTTTTCAGATGAGGGAGAAGCTGCTCTTGGGTGTCCATTATAAAACTGGCTTGACTCCTTTTCTGTCTCACACAGTCCAGTACTGCTGAGCTATTAACACAACACACATTTAGTGGCAGTCTTGTCAAAACAATAATCAATTGAACTATCACTAAGTCTCCTCCTACTTTCTCAACACTGTAAAACATCACACCCACCGTCTGCATTTGTCTTACATGTTCAGCTGGGAGGCTTGGCTCCTCTGCTACACTTGCCAGATCTGGACCAGTCTCAGGTGACATGGCCTTCAGCACCTGCTGTACTCTACATTTGGCCGCCTGTGGCAACAGGGTGGCGCGCCTTTGGGGAAAGTTGCCATGGTGTCTGTGAGGTAGACCTGCCATCTCCAGGAGATTGAACCTCCTGGGGTGAAAAAAGAGAAGAGAAAACACAAAAGAAACGGCCTGTTTTAAATCTCCTGTGTGCTCAGTGTTTGATGTCAAAACACAAGAATCAAAACAAACACAAAACCACCAAAGAAACAGTAGAAGAGGAAGTAGAATCATTATTTTCAGATTAACTTGGCTGCTCATTTGTACAAGCACAATAACATGCCTGTCTATCTAATGAATAGTTATAACACATACAAAAAAGCAGAACTTGTGCACATTATGATTAGCAGCTTTAACAACATATAAGGATCCATTTGAAGTTGTATTGAAATTGTTCCTTACCTCGGTGTGAATGTAAGCGACAAAAAACAAGATGTCTGCTGCAGAAAGCAAATGAATGTGTCCTCAGGTGGATGTGAGCTGGCGATGAGAGAGATGGCATTGTTCCATGAGTCCGGTGTCAAGGGGGACACAAAGGCTTTGATTGGTGGAGAGCCGATCCAACCTCAGCCCCTTGACGTTTCTACGCTGTTCACTAAAAGCCTGTGTTTCCTGTTAAATATCATGTGATGCTTTTAATCCAGTACACCCATCCTGCTAACATTTTTCTGTAAGTTCCCCTGTTCAGCATTTATAAGCTGTATACAACAATTAAAAAGTGTTTATAACACACTAATAACAAAATATGTAATACTAACGGTTCAAGATATGGTTAAAAACTAACTCTTCAAAATATATTTAAGATATAAAATATATTTTCAAAAACCACAACCTCCAAAATGATTATGAAGTTGAATCAACACCTCTCTATATGAGGTTTTAAAATGACTTTATTTTGCTCAGTGTAACTAATTTGCTATAATACCCTACGTTTAAATCTTTGCCAACACGTTACGCTCTGTACATTCTGAATTCACACTTAAACCTAATACTTCAGTAAATACACTGTAATCATCTTCTCTTAATTTCACTCATCCACCTCTAGGTGTCGCTGTGTATTTTTTTGTTGTCTGGAGCCAAATCTCGCACAAAACTGCGTGACTTACAAATCCCGTTCCTCTTTCAACTGGCCTCAGAGAATGGTAGGTTATGTCATGATTGTCTGTGCATTGAAGTGGAGTAATCTATCACCATCCTTGTTCGTTCATATAGGAATCTACCATACGAGAACCGTTTATTGTACATTTATCTGTTACGAGCAATTAATGGATACTTTTGATGTGTTTTATTAGCACTTTAGGAATTCGTTAGCTGCTCACTGTATGTAGCTGCTCGGCTGTTCTGGGCCCGTGGCTGTAGCAGTCACACAACAGTCTCTAGTAAATCGCGTTTTAACTGCGTACATAATACGTCTGTATCTTTATTGATTACACAAGTAATAGAGGTTTAAAATGTAAAGCTGACCGACAGCATTGGCCTAAGTGTAAATTTTGCTGTGCGTGTCCAGTCGTTGAGAGTTTGCCGGGTAATGCAGCTGAATTAGCATTAGCTTCCCGGGACAGTAGGCAGCATGTAACTACTTTCTAAGGTGGAAAACGTGTTTCTTGCCTCCGAAATAATTTAACAAGTTTAGAAGTCGGTCCAATGTTGACGTGCTTCATATCCCTACTAGTTCGGCTAATTTAGCTAGCCAGCTAGTTTCATGAGTCAACATTCAGACCAAGGTAGTTGATGCTGTCTAGTAATTTCAATCTCCGACTAACCTTTTTTTGATAGCCTACTAAGAAGACTAAGACTAGGAAGCTCCGAGGGCACGTTAGCCACGGACATGGTCGCGTTGGTAAGTACAGGTTTATCCCTTTTTCAAGTGTTGTAACTGATAAGTTCTTTATGTCATTGGTAACATGAACATCTCTCCAACAGGCAAGCACAGAAAGCATCCTGGAGGCTGTTCTTTGTGGCATTGGTAACATGAACATGTCTCCAATAGGCAAGCACAGAAAGCATCCTGGAGGCCGTGGTAATGCTGGTGGTATGCATCACCACAGAATCAACTTCGACAAATAGTAAGTGCTGCAAAATATGTTGAGGTGCGGAGTTGGAGCAAAGTGAGGGTTGGTTTCTATACCATAAGTTAGTTTAGCTTACATGAAATCTGATTTTAATCATGTTTAAGTTAAGCTTTCCTGAGGGAAATATATACTTGTGTATGTACCTACAAAGAATGTATGGGCAGATTTCTGCTTACAAATACTATTAAAAAAAAAAAAAAAAACTGAGCCTAGGACCGGTACCTGAAGAACAAATAGTTGTTTGCCAATTTGCGTCTATTAGTGCATCCCCACTGTTGAGTCAGTCTACCAATGGTTAATATTGTTTTACAGCAGAGGCTAGAATCTCATTTAGTAAATCACTGTCATGGTGTGCTGGTCTTAGAGTAAACAGTAGCCGTTTATCAACAGGCTCTCTGTAGGCTGGTCAGCCACATGGGCAGTTACAAAGCTGGTCTGACTATGTTGACAGATTTCCAGTTTAATGCAAAGTTTCCATGTTGGTTACATGATATTAAGTCCTCTCTGTTTTTCCTGATTGTCCTCAGCCATCCTGGGTACTTTGGCAAGGTGGGTATGAGACATTACCACCTGAAGCGGAACACAGCCTACTGCCCCACAGTCAACCTGGACAAGCTGTGGACACTAGTAAGCGAGCAGACCAGGCTGAACTACAGCAAGAAGCCTGACGGCCCTGCCCCCATCATTGATGCTGTGCGTGCTGTAAGTATCGGCCAGTACTTTTGTTAGTGACAAAATGTTTTGTCTCCAGCCCTGATTACTATTAAAATGATAGTTTGGCTCATTTGGACTCTGAATGTGGAAGACTGTATGTCTGATGTATAATTTATACTTGTCCTTAACTATGCATAGGTGTTGATGCATACCTATGCAGCAAAGAGGTTTTGTGACTTAGCGTAGGTCGTTGACAGTCACAGAGACAGGCTGAAGCGCACACCTCCCAAATCTAAACTGTTCCATGGAGCTGCATCTTCCATGCTGATTGGTTGATCTGACTTCCTGTTACTTGTTTTCACAAAGCTTCTACGGGTGTTTCTCAAGTCTCTTTTATCTTCATGCCCCTCACTTGTCTTCCTTGCATCTTAGTCCCACCCACTTAAGATGCGACAAAAAAATGGAAGCAAAACAGGCGAATAGAGAGGCCTCGAAACACTGACACGAGGTGTTGTTTCCTCCATCTGAAGTGTCCAGTCACCAACTGATTTCTGATAAAGGCGCATGTGGGTTTGTAAAAACCTCAGTGAAGGATGCATTTGTGTGTCCCTGCTTGTGGCTCCTAACATATATGAGACATGGAACATCCTCAGTCGACCGGTACATCTTCAGGTCAAGCGAGGAACAATCATGTAAGAGACTAGAGAAGCACATTCTCTGTACTTTGCAGTTTTGGTCTGTCGATGGAGATGTGAAAATGGGTCCTGGGGGAGTTTAAGAAAGGCCATGGAGACACAGGTCATTTACAGATCGTCAAAGGCTGTCACCGCTTTATCAGAAATGACCTTAGAGGAGGAGCTGCAGGAGGCCATTGAACAGATTGTCTCTTTACAAGTAGAAGTCCCACAAGAACAACGAGCATTTGCAAGAAATACTGGAGTGCCCACTGTTTTAAAGAGGCAAGCCAGAAAAAGTTGACTCAAAAGAAAGCACACCAGTGACAGGAACAATCCTGGTGCAGGAGGCTGATTACTCTTTATAATATACACTGAAACTTGAGTGTCCTATCTTGAAAAATAACTTGTGGAAGCTAAATACTGTGCAAAGCAAATATAGTCTTAAGTGGCCATTGTCATAGCTTTTATGGATTATTTCAAACAAAACTCAACACTTCCTCAAAGAGCCAAAGTATACTGGTTCCTAAAACTTTGAGTAGAGTAACATCTGAAGGTATAAGGAGGTAGCTGCCTATAACTGCAGTTTGTTATTGTTTGGGAAGATTTGGGGTCCTGAATTAATGACATGAACTCAGTTGGCGGGTTCATGGTAGTCTGTTACTGTGAGTGAGTATCTCCGCCAAAAGCCTCAAGCAGTGTTTGGAGCTTTAATAGGTTTCAAATATGCCACCTTAGTGTGAAGGTTGAGCTGTATTCCTATGTCCAGGGGTTAGCATATTGCGGCCTTCAAACAGGTCAGAGTGTTAACGTGTGCACAGGTATAAATGCAACTATCTGATTGGATATATGCATATGTACAGTGGCGTCAAAGTACAAGTCTGGCTTTAGATAGGAAGACCAAGCTGATGTATTGGCCTACACGGGCCTTTTTCAAGAGCTACGTGTTTTCCTTAAGGCTGAAAATATCAACCATTGACCTAATAGAAAAGTTTGAGGTGTTATTTGTGGCTCATTGCAGATTCTGCAGCTTGTGGCTGTATATTTTTTGTGAATAAAAATGGTTCAGGAGCGTTTTGTCAGATATAATGTGTTAATGTGGTCAGTGCTCATCAGGTTGCAGTAATTTTTCTTTTTTTCTACTTTACAGGGGTACTACAAAGTTCTGGGCAAAGGCAAACTGCCCAAGCAGCCTGTGATCGTCAAGGCCAAGTTCTTCAGCCGAAGGGCCGAGGAGAAGATTAAGGCAGTAGGAGGGGCCTGCGTGCTGATGGCATAATGCTTTGTCAACATGTTTTTGCAGAAATAAACTGTATAAATGGGATCTTTGTGTTTGTCCTGTCTAATTTATATGTACACATGACACAGATTGCTGTTGGTATGTGTTGCAATGTGAGCTTCATAAAAATCTGTCTATGTATGTCTAAGTGGGAATTTGATCATTGGATTTGAAATTTATGGCCTAGTAAGATTAAATGTGCCATATCAGAAAAACTAACAGTAAAAGAAATGAGACTATATGGTGCTTTTGTAGTTTGCAACGGTTGAGTTAAACTATGCACCGCAGCTGTGGGGTTTAAGATGTTTGAAACAATTATATAAAAGCCACAATTACACAGCAAGTGCTGCTGAAGTTTATTTCCCTTCTCTGCACCCTAACAATGGGTGAAGTTTTGCCAGAAATCTCTACTTTGATGTGATGCAGAGTCTGGTCTCAATTGAAGCACTAAGAAAGGTGAAAAGCAAAATCAGTTTGACTTCAGACAGTGAAGGAGTTTGGATTGCACCAAAGTTTTTGACATAGAAGTTATCACTATATTATCATTGTTTTATTTTGGTTAGGGAGCCTGTAGGGTTGTACAAAAGTTAAAGACTAAAGGTGCCATCATCTCTATAGGCGTTACCACTGTAGGTATATTATACTGTTTACATTTTTAAAAGGGAACATGACTGATGTGAAACCTATAGTGATTTATTTTGCGAGTTACACACAAGCATGTTCAGTGATTGTGACTTGTGGACTCTGTAAATGGGGGCGGGGTTGTAAGAGCAGGATTTCCTGTCTCAAGCAGCACGTCCACGGCTGTGTGCACGGTCGGCGAGCATGATGTGAGGACTGCACGCACAGGTAACCGAATGAAAAGGCACCGCTTTTTCAGGACTCTTGTGTTTTTCGGGTGCGTTTACTTGACCCATGTGTCTATGCATTGACCTTATAAAACCAAAATAATGGCTTTACTGATAGATTGTTGATAGAGAATGAAAATTCGAAATAGTTATGACGACACGTTATTATAAAGTGACGTAACAAGTTGAATTGTATGAACTTGGGTATTTTAGGTGAGCGCGTGAAAACTAAGTAGCCTACGAAAAGTGACAAAGTAACCGCAGCTGCTTAGTGTGTGGGTGGATCTACGCATGCGCCGTTCCCCTGGATTGTAAACTGCCATTAGTCAATTCTTCGATTAGCGAGTAACAAAAATAATTTGGGACTGTTTTGATAATCAGTAATTTAAGTTATTTTGAAAGCAAAAAATATCAAACTTGCTACTTCCAGCTTCTCATTTATAAGGTTTTGCTGCTATTATGAGTTCATGTGATGGTAAATTCGAGATCTTAGGTTTTGGGCAAGGAAAAAAAGCAATTTGATAACATCACCTTGGGCTTCAGAGAACAGAATTTTCTTTTATTTTCTAACATGATCAGACGATTTATTGAAAACAAAAATCGGTCGCTGTCCTGTTATTTTATCCTGGGTTTCACACTTTTTCTCTCAAATCATTAGAATATTATATTTGGAATAAAACTCCAGTCTATGGCACTTGACTTGGAGGTAAACTGGCTGATGGAGCCCACTCTGCTTGTTACTCCACTCAGGTGTAAGTCACCTGAGTTTGGTCCTGTTCATGGCAAACCAAGCCTGGTTGGAGTCCTCCCTGAAGCGCTCTGCCACTCTGGGCCTGGAAGTGCTGGAGCGGGCCTCCAGGCGGAGTGTAGACTGGACCAGCACTGGTGTGTCCCAGACTTCCACTACCACAGATGAGGAAGACACACAAATCCCTGCCAGGGTGCCTACAGGCTTTTTGCATGTTAACAGTTCTTCAATGACTTTGAATCTTTACTCCTTTATTCTATGTCTGCTCAGCCTCTCAAGTCACATGCTCATTTCTTCTGATGGTTTTCCAGAGAACATGCACAGAACTTCATGATGCCTTTGCAACCATTGCAGAGTTCATGGCACAGACAACCTATCAGTGCAAGGTAGGTAACTGTTTGTCACTCTTCATGTTTTAGCCCCTGTTTACAGTTTAGCCACAGGCCATAACTTAAGTGTGAAAATTGTCTGTGCTGCAGAGGTTTTATGAGTCTGGCTGTTGCACTGGGCCCACTGACAACGAGAGGCGTCATGTGTCCAGGTTCCACACACAACCAGCTGCTAGGAAGACGACACCTGCGCTGCCAACCAGGAAACATGTAAGGGTGCTGACCAGGAAAAACTAATCTGCTGCTGCTTGTGTGATGGGTGACTCAATCTTGAAAGGCTCATGTGATCTACAATGGCAACCAAATAAGGTGGTCAGCTGTGTTTCGGTAGCCTCTCAGCTAGCTGAGGTTCTTGTACTATAGCCTAAAATAACACTTTGGCAAGAGAGCAAAACTGCTAATGAACATTACGTGTATCTTTCACAGCCGGGAGCTAAAATTTTAAAATTCAAGTGTCATTTTCAGGGTTGTGTGTCGGCAGCAGGAGAAGATTTTTACATTGAGGTTTCACCTGGAATATACGCCATCACTGCCAGCATGCCCGAGTCACAGCGGCAGACTCAGTTGGTTAGTGTCAAAGCTGGAGAGAGCATCAACCTCACCTTTAACCTCTGACGCCCCACCCTTAACCCTCAGAAACAAAGCTGGCCAATGCTAATGCTCTGTGTTTTTCTTGTCTTAATCTGATTTACATTTATTTTGTTTTTATTTGCTGCACAATGAGAAGCCATATTTTATTGCATTTTTGAGTATTTTACTACGTAAATTGCACTTAAATTAAAATAGTAGCATTTAGCAGTGTTTTATGTGCACTAATACCACATCAGTGTATTAAAATAAAGTGCTATTTTAAACTTTGTATTTGTTACAGTGACATGTTATGTGTAAACAGGAGCATAGTCTCCAGGAAAAGGCTGAGGTCCCACAGGTGGCTGAGGTTTGAAGTCTGTCATTGCTAAAACTTCTGGCTGCTTTTCTTCCTTTAGCACCAGGAAGTGTCTGAAACAGAGAGCTGATCTGCGGGACAGGGAAGCCGAGTCTCACAGGTTGTGGTGTCCTCCTGGGCACAACACTCCCTGGAGATAAAAATAAAATCATTAAGCACAAACAGATCTTCTGCAGGTTAAATGAAATTCAAAATACTAGAAATGGTAACCATACACAGTCACAGATTTGCCATATGCACGTTTGTAGGAAAACTAAAGTGCAGCCCAGCTCAATCACAAGATCTCTCACTAAATTTTATTCCAAATATAACCATGACATAAAAATCCTGATTGCCCATGTGGTGTGGTGAGTGTTCCTCAGTATTATGGTAAAAGGTCTTTGCTTGGCGTTTGTTAAATTACAGCAAAGACAACAGGGCATCTAGTATTGAGCTTGCAGGATTGTTTTGCCTTGTTAGCAACAAAAATGTTCTTAACCGGCTAAATGCTTACATGCATAAATAAGGGATGAATTTACAGTATAATGTACTGGCATTGTTAACTGGACAGGTGTGATCCAAAACACTTAGTGGCAAAGTATGTCCATCTGCCTTTTTACTGCTTCAACATGCTTTACCACAAACAGATTTACATTAATGTAATAAAGGTTCTAAGATCTGAAACTGAAAAACTAAACAGGTTAAACCCACGTTAATCTCATCTTATTTCTACACATCTTGCAGTCAATATGGAATTCAATTTGAAGACAGGTCTGCAGTTGTCAAGGTTAGAAAGCCATGTATGGCTTTTGCATACTTATGCAGTACATGGCATGGGTGAGTTTTTAAGCCTACACTTGTTTACATTTGATGAGGTTTACGCCGAATCTGCCATTAGCAGGTTACGAATCATTGGATGTAGTGACAATCACAAATACTCTAATGAAAACATGATTCTCAGGCAGACTAAACTAAATTTGGCCATCAGAGAGGGCATCCTTGGAAAGTCACACTGAAGCAAATGTTTCTAAGCAGCTGATGTTTATCCTGTTAATTACAGATGTTCAGATTTCAATTTGAGTTCTTACATTCCATCCTGGTAAATGACCAACTTCAGTTTTTTTAGATAATTTACTTAACAAATTCACATAGTCATTATGCTCATTGGCTGCTATGTGACCCAAAATCATTTTAAAGGGACCTTTCATATAGCAGACTGTTTGGCATGCCATAAAGAGTAGAAATATTAACAGTAGCACTTTTCATGATCACATACTGGTATGTATGCTGTCTTGTCAGGAATGAACAGATTGTTCCACCTGTTTTTTCTGCAAGGACATGTGAACTGTGACATAAAAGGCCTAGCATGTTATGGCGATGGGGCCCAATTCGAAACCAAGGATGTCTATCAGCACATCCGGCAAAAACAAATGTTCAGATCTCACTGGGTTATTTTACAACACAGCCATATCACAAATATCTATAACTGACAATAGTAATTACATCTCACTAAAAACCATTCAGAAAATATTTTGATAACATTAAAAAAAAAAAAAAAATTACATAGCAGCATCTCTAGTGCACAGATATTACTTGGTTCCAGCTGGAGGCGAGTGCCACACAGCAGAACTGGTGCCTTTAAAATAGTGAGGCTTGCTCTTGTAGAAGATGCTTTCCAGTCTTGGTGGTTCGACCTCTCCAAAGAAAGTCTAAATGTGGAGGGTTGCAGAACTGGTTCCTAATTTTCTGCTCAAGACTGGGACCTGGAATGGGGAAACAAACACTGTCACTTAGGGCTATACAACATAAAATTTATTTCACATCAAGTTGCTTTTACTTTGATTGTAATTTACATCTCCCCTTCTCACTTGCATGTGTTACACATTAGCCATTGTGGCTCCATGCTAAACTCAAAATACACAAGTAATCTTCAGATTCTAGCTAACAAAGACACTTCTTTTAAAGCTTTGTGCCATTGATAAGTTATTTGCTTAGTTCATGAATCCCCATATTATATGTTGAGAAAACTCCTCCCTTAGGAAGCTTTCCAGTTATCAAACAATGGTAAGCAACAAATATCTGATGTTTTTTTTTTCCTTCAGGTAGGCCAAAGAACACCAAAATGAATGCTACTGTACCAATATTAACATACTGAGAGCTATGCTAAATTTTATTCTGATCATGTTTATGTAGTAACATTACATCAATACAAAAACAGAATTAAACTTTAAACATCCAAAAGGTAGCATGTGGAAAAATTAGACAGAATTTTGACTGTATTTTCATTTTATGTAAGCCAATATACAGGTGCAGCTCAATAAATTAGAATATTGTGGAAAGGTCCATTTATTTTGGTAATTCAACTCAAATAGTGAAACTCATGTATTATATAAATTCAGTACACACAGACTGTAGTTTAAGCCATCGAGTCTTTTAATTGTGATTATTTTGCTCGCATTTAACAAAAACCCACCAATTCACTATCAATTAGAATATGGTGACATGGCACTCAGCTAGTCAACTCAAAACACTTGCAAAGGTGTCCTGAGCCTTCAAAATGGTCACTCAGTTTGGTTCACTAGGCTACACAATCATGGGGAAGACTGCTGATCTGACAGTTGTCCAGAAGACAATCATCGACACCCTTCACAAGGAGGGTAAGCCACAAACATTCATTGCCAAAGAAGCTGGCTGTTCACAGAGTGCTGTATCCAAGCATGCTAACAGAAAGTTGAGTGGGAGGAAAAAGATGCACAACCAACTGAGAGAACCGCAGCCTTGAGAGGCTTGTCAAGCAAAATCGATTCAA